ATTTTTGTTTTATTTTTGGTTCGAAATAAAGTCATTCATTCACACATGGTCGACTATTATTTATGGACATCAATGGGATGCATAGAAGTGCGTCAGTGGGATATTTCTACATTTCTAAAATAGGAAAACGATGTGAATATTAATTTAATAAAAGAGAGCGGTGTTATTTTTATTCCCTCACTGAATGGCTTCGACATATTTCAGAGCTGCGGTCACTGATTGTCTGACAGGCGGGACTAAATAACTGGGTGGGGATGAAGTGCAGGCTTTTGAAATCAGAGCAGTCGGTTTCTAATGAGGTGGGAGGAAGAAAAAAAAATCTCTGTGTCTTTAGAAACCATTCGACAAAACAATGGCCCGTAAAAAAAACACAAAACACACACACACACACACACACACACACACACACGCACACACAAGTACCCGCTGAAGAAAGTCTGAAATCACGGCGTGAGTGGCTGCAGCAGATAAGGCCGAGCCCAGGGCCTTGTATAAACAAACAACTCACACACACACACACACACACACACACACACACACACACTGAAGGCCAGCTCCATCTGGAAAAGTGAAGCCGGGTGAAATCGTGCGCGTCGGTGGAAGACGGGAGTCGTGATTAGGAGCCCCACCTTAGGACCTCAACACAAGGACACAACACGAGGTGATTAACAACCGTCTGCAGTCAGCTATCAGGAATCCACCTGGGGTGATCACACAGTGGGTCACAGCTGAACTAAACCAAAGCACCAAACCTGCCAGAATCAAAATAAAAAAGGTTTTAATGGCTCTCTGGAGTGGACGCTTCATGCATGTTTGATTCTCCACTGTTGGGGAACTACATCTAATTAAACTGGAACTTTAACTACATTTTTGCAGTAGCTCACAGGTATTCAGCGAGTCTATCATATTTGCACCGTGATTCAAGAAGTTAAATGAACTTTTTTGCACACTTTTTTGACAATAAGAACAATTAGGGCCAAAAACAAATATGTTACCATTGCTTCTCTCCTGTAATTGAACCCCCTTGGATTACAATTAGTCAAAGGTATTGATTATTGATATTTATTAACAAATGTTGCATGTTATATTGAAATTATGTGACTAACTGAGTCATCTTTCTCAATGCAATACCCCCAGATGGACTCTAGTTTCTGAAGGCAGGTGTCTGACTGATGGAAACTGTGTATAAACTGACATTCCTGCACCTTCCCATGAAAAGTGGGGTATTTATTCATTTATTTGTTTATGACCTGTGAAAGATTAGGCACTTTTGCAATAAAGTCAGCCGAGTAGTATTTAATGCTGGCATGTGACTTTTTTCTACTACATTGTGTTCTAGTTTTGTATTACAGTCTTAAGTCTGAGCTACTTTTTCATACCGTACCCACAAAATGCCTCTTCATATATCAGTTATTCAGTCATTCATGCATGTTACCTTAAATTCATGAGGAAAACAGTTAATATGTTTATTTATTGACTGATTGGGGCCGTTAAACCACAGCAACACTATAGCAAAATATCTCACACAACTCATACTGTATAATCCATGTCTCATGTATCCAGTCGTATGCTCAGCACAAAACTGAACTGCAAGAGAATTTTATGTACGCTCTCTTGAGACTCCAATACAGAGGTCTCAGGGAAATTGCATGAGTTTGAGAAGTACTGGGCATATGATTGGATAAATGAGATTTGGATTATACTACACGAGTTGTGTGAGAGTTTGTTAGCAGATGTTTTTGCTGTAGATAAATGTGGCCCCCAAATCAAAAGTCATTATGACGCTCCCAGTATCTAATGTTATCTGGTAAACTGTTCCAGTGAAAGGGCCTCATAATGCTGGTGTCAGCCCATCTAAAGTCCTATCCACCTTATTCCTGAGGGCACTACTGTAGAAATGATTATGGGTGCAACTTCCAGTGAGAGAGCGGAAGTAGCAGTAAGCTAGTTAGTCCCATAGACAGTCTGTGGTTAGTCCTGGTAGCTACTATACTACTTTTAACAAATATTTAACTAATGTTAACTTAGCATTTTCTAAAATGTCTTTGCGGAGCTCTGGTACCTGTTGCACTGTCCGTGTCTGTAACGACTAACAACCAGTCTAAGCTACATTTTTGTCTTCAGCAACCGTGTGTTGAACATGTAACCAGAACAAAAGGGGATTGCTCCTGTTGCCAAAGGTACCATTGATATGAGAAATAAAACCACAAGAGTTTCACCAGACATAGCGAAAAAGTATTACATCAGAATTTACAGGAGAGAATGACACATAGACTGACAGGTCCGTCACTCAACGTCAGTACATGATACCCCTGTCTTTCCCCGTCTGACTTCATTCTCAACCTACACTAGAAAATAAACTCAGCAACACATCTTGAAAAATGTATTTAGTCATTAGGGCTGAGAATGTGACACTGATTTACCACAAATCCTTTATATCATATAAAAAATGAATGCCCAAATGTATTTCTCTTACTAGTCTACTAAGTCTGCTGCTAAATTCAGCTTCATGTTTCATTTAGAACAGTTTTTAACAAATCAGAAGTTAACGACGAGGATTAGCTGGGAAACTTCACATTTATTCACTTTACATGGAGCTACAGTTAATACTGAATGATGTTAAATGTTTGCTGAATGTGTTAATATCTCTTAATAAGTCATCAGAAATCAAAAATCATCTTCAGAAGGAGAAGATGTTACCTTAAGCTAGCTCAGGCCATGTTAAAGTTAACAATATTATAACAGAGCAGGGCAAGCTGGTTGCTAGCGTGCTTGGTTGAAAAGGAAAATACAATGCTTTGAGATGGCTGTGAGAGATGGCAGAGGTTTGATCACATAATCCTGTTTGAGCTATAACAGGTGGTGTGTTCACGTTTTATTTCCCAGTTGCTCTTGGAAAGAAGAATAGAGTACTGTAAACACACTGTAAGCAAACTGTTACCACTGGAAATTGCAGGTTTTGGTTCAGCGCTGGAAGTTGCACCCATGGTATCATTGGGGCTAGGAATAAGGTTGGTTAAGAGGTGCGGACATTTCCAGTTGTCTTTCTGTTAGCTCTGCTAAATGTATGCTACATTTGGGCTCTTATGCCTATTTTGCAAGTGTCTGTGGTGCTGTTTGCGGTTGGTTTTGGACGGTGGTGTTATGAGGCTGCAAGCCACTCATCAAGATGAGGAAATCAACTCACCAGTCTGTAAACTCTCTCTTCTGCGGACATCTGCCAGGTCGAGGTTTTCAAATGTCAACACCAGTAAACGCTAAGGAGAAGATAGCACCAACTGCTAGCATCCCACCAGCCACTGTAGGCCGCAGGTGTTGGATAATAAACTGCACGACCTCAGGATATAATATTGGAACTGTAATATACATTCACTGAAATCTTGGATTCTATGTCGATCCAACAGAGCAGAGGACTCTGGCGAAAGAAGGAGAGGAGGCCAGTGCTTTATGGACAATAAGGACTGGTGTGACAGTGGGAATGTGAGGTGTTGTCCCGTTCCTGCTGTGGATCACTGCTATACCTTGTGCAGAGGCGGCTGCAGTGTTCAGGTGGAGTAACCATACAGATGCCTTGTTGAGGTCGGGATGTGTGGACAGTGAAATAATTCCACAACTAGAAACCATGGAAAACCAGAGCCATCCTGAAACATGGGCAGTTATAAAGCAGCTGCCAACAATGTGGAGTAACAGGACTAAATCAAAGTGCACAAGTTAAAGGAGCTGAAGGGATCACATTTCATCGTGTATAATTGATTGACTGACTGACTAATCTGGGGGGTGTAGACACACTCACTAAAAATGTATCATGATGGTTTTTATCTTGAGACATCTCCACAGCGAGTGTTGAGGCAATTCCTTTAATTTTTTCTTTTTTACGGGGCTTTTTTGGGTTAAAGGACCCCCCTTTCAACACAAATGCAAAGTTCATAACAGCCACTCATGCTGAAGTCCAGAGATGCGTTTTATCGTGAGATAACTGAAACTCATGATTTTAAATAATTTGAAGGTTTTTGATAATTATGCACTGTTGTGATTATATTTTTGTTATTTTTTGTCTTTTATTATTATCATTTTATTTTTTAAATTACTTTCTAAATTTTATTTTATTTTTTTCTTGCCAGGGTTGGGGATATTATAATTATTTTCTTAATTGAAATGTTACCGTTCACTTTAATGTTTAAAAACTCAATAAAAAAAGTTAAAAAAAAAAAACTTAAAATCAAGCACTGCTGTGATTATAATTTTGTTATTTTTTCTTTTATTCATGTATTTTTATTATTACTATTTTATTACTTAAATTGCTTATTTTATTTTATTATATTTTCTTCTTGCCAGGACTTTCTTTGTTGAAATATTACTGTTCACGTTTAATGTTTAACTCAATAAAAGATTATTTAAAAAAAAACTTCTTAAAATAAGCTGTCAACTGACTAAAGCTCGTTAATAAAACAAAGCTATTTTTTATTGAGAAAAACGTATTCATTTAAAGCATTAACCCCATGAATAACTTTTTACAGTGCATGACTCCAACCTTCACCAGCTACTGAGCTTTTTGTTTTTCCTTGTGAGCACTTAAATGTCGGTTTCATGAGAAGCAGCTTCAGTACTTTCAGTGTTAAAGAGTGACTTCACTTCCCAATTTAGAGAGCGCGAGAGAGAGAGCGAGAGAGCGAGAGAGAGGGGGGAAAAAACGTCATCCGGTTATGGTCTGTGAGCAAAAAATTGTAACTGCAATGGTTTGCGCCATAGAGCCAATGCACCCCTGCATGCATTGAAGTGAGGTTAGAAGGCTAAATAAGCTGCAACATTGACAAAAACGACTAAATGACAAAAACTGCGAGGCTTCTGCAATGGACTGTACGATAAAGGTAGGTGTTTGATGGTTTTTAACACTGCTGCTGCTGCTGGTGAAAATGACAGGCGGCCACCCACACCAGCTCTGAGTCTGCTGAGTGAGAGAGTCGAGGCGGTGATGCGAGCTCCCCACTCTTTCCTTCTTGTACAAAATTTCCTCTTCCTTCCCGTTCGTGGTTGTATGTCGGCTCTATAATAACACAACTAACCACTACATCTTTACACTCAGATAAAAACACTAATTGGTGGCCGGTTATGCGCGTAAAAGAGGATTCCCAAACGCATTTCGTTTATTTTTTTCTTCTAATTGCTGTGTTTAATTGGAGCCCAGCCCGCACTATCCACGGAACCGCGACACAACAGCAAAAAATAACGAATGAAATCACTGAACATTTAGCGGGTTGAGAAACTTAAACGAGGAATAAATTAATGAAGGGATGCTGGATTTTATTGGGCGCACCAGGCAGGTGCCCCTGAAGGCGCCATGGATCAACTTGGATACAGTGAGAACCCATTTTTAACGAGCAGGAGGATCCATTTCCATCAGATGACTGGTATTTCACATTTCATACCATTACAGCTGTTTATCTTCTCCGGACGACCACAATGTACTAATTGCTTTGATTAAATTTCTTCGGGAAAAAAATGCAGAAATAAATAAAGGCCTTCATGTCACGACTTCAAATCAAAAGAACTTCTTTTAATGACTGAAAACTGATTATTGCGCAACGAAAAAAGGCAAACATTTCTATCTGATTATAAGCCACAAATATACTAACTCATTTTATCGTTTGAACGAATGTGCGTCTAATGTGCAACACTCGCCTGCAGGCTTTTATTTTTTATTTCTGCATTGAATTATTCTTGCAATCTTCTGAATAATCTCTCCTAACTTCGACGCAATATTAATAACGCAATTCTTAATTTGTTATAAACCATTTATTATAACGAATGACTTGATATTTCAACCAAAATAAAGGCCGCCTTTGGTTAACTGTGAAACTAGAAAAAAAATGCATTTTAAAATGGCCTCAGTAGATTGAGGAACTAATTATTGTGCTCATGCCTCTCCTGTTTCGATTCTAAAAAAAAATATTTTTGGAGTGTAAAGTCAATCAAGTTACATTATTTGCGTTGTAAGATAAAGGGGAGGGAATGATTAAAGGGCCAGTGCAGAAAAATGAGGACCCCCCCCCTGACACGAAGCCTTACATTTACTTAGTTATATTTTTATTTTATATTTTAGTTTTTTGGTGTTTAAATGCAGGCTCACATGGGGAATTCTTCGTTAATGAAACGTGATTATTTAGATAATGACTCTCTCACAGTGTGTCGCAGCAGATTGTGTGTTTTAGGTTATTTTAAGTATAATTTATAGCTGCAAACGGGAGCACTTGTCAGGTGTCGTTATCTGAACTCAGCAGGCTTCCTGTCTCAAACCTCAGACTTTCCGCACACATTTCCGCTCCGTGGACTAGAAAAAATGTCGAAAAGGCAACAAAGCCTCCCCAGAAAGAAACGACGTGGACAAACTGAGGCGTTGCATTGTTTAACTCTACGTTGTCCGCTCACAGGCTGGGAGGTGAAGGAGGACCGGGCCTGGATCTGTATCTGCGGCCTGCACAGGCCTGCGTGCTGCCAGGCTCCGAGCTGTGAAAACCGCACTGTTGTTTGTGTGGCAGAAAGTGCAGCTGCTCGGGCCTTTGCAAAATCAGCTTGCTTGCCTTAACTTTTACTTCTGCTTTCTGCCACTTGCCTCAGACATGGCGAGCACACAGGGCTGTGTCTTTGCACAACTTCATCTCTGTTGAATGTGCTCTCTGGGGAGGGAGACGCTGGGGACACATTCAGCTCATTATCTATAATATGTGCATTTGTCTACCACGATAAAACCATTTAAGTCGCACCAGACTTTAATTCTGACAAAATTAAATACATTTACAGCATAAATTCATGCAGTTAAGGCACAAATTGGTGCATAAAAAAAAATACCAGAATGCAGGAAATTAAGTGTTAAGTGCTCAAGTTGTTTTTGGAAATTGGTTTGGTTCATGTGTTGAAACAAAACCTGTGCCTTTGATCCTTCTATTGATTAGGAGTTGGCACCAGTTGTACAGATACCCTAACCCTTCTAGATACTTTGATTCTTGGAGTATCTGGAAGCCATTTGTGGCAGACCCACATGTAAACAGGAGCTCAGTAACACCTTAAAACTTTTGATTTCTACAAACACACAGTGAAGAAAGCTAAGAAAGAAGAGACCCACAAACTATTAAGTTATTATGAATCATGTGTGAATGGCACTGCTGTTAGTAGTCTGTTAAGGTCAGGTTTAGTCTTTAAAGTTTAAAATCGATCTGTGTTGATTTCACCTAAGATCTCCATCAGTCCAGAGCAGAATACGAGGATCATTTATCAGGCTGCAGTGCAGTTCACCTGTGAATCAGCTACTTAACACTTCACAAATAAGAAATTCATTAACAGACTTCAAATATGAATCATGTAACTGGTGCATGCATGGAAAAAGTTAACCACATCCTTGGTTGCAGTTTGAGGCAGTGATTCCCAACCTTTTAGGCTTTTGGCTCCTTTAAACAAAGCTCTTATGGTCCCTTGTCACAGGTATGTGTTTACTGTTGTGAACAGTTCAACCAAAGTTTCCCTTTGTTTATTTGAATATTCAGTAATTCACAAGAATAAATGGGGGAAAAAAGAGCACATTTCAGAAATGTGTTTTTCCTGCTCTCCTACTTCGTAAATCATTTTGCAGTCCCTCCAATTTATCCTGCCACCAGTTGGGAACCACTGTTTTTTTGTTTTATCAGGAGAGCTGAAATCTATGAGTCAACTGAAAGGAAATAAGTCTGCACCTATTTTGCTAATCAATTTTTAAGCCCCTCAAATTTGCTTTAACCATAGTAGAAAAAAGAATATCTTTGTGTTGTTTTTTAAATGTTGGTTAGACAAATATAAACATTTTATTACGTCGCCTTGGCCCCTTGGATTTTTCACAGTTCTCTGATGTTCTGCAGACTGAGTAATTAATTAGGAAAATAACCAGCAGATTAATCAATACTAAAAAAATAAAAAATAATCAGATCGTTGCAGTCCTAGTTAGCAGATGTGGTTTTGAATATAGGCTCCAACCAGGCAAAATAGGTCAGTCATGCTGCTGTGCCAGAAAACATTAAGTATCGCTAACTGAAAGAAACTTAACTTGTTTTTTAACTTTGTTTTTTTTTTTTTTTCGTAAAACGGAGCCCCAGAAGTCCTGAGAGGTGATTTTTTTTCTATCTTGTGCTAAAAGACAATTATTTGGTGTGCGCAAGATGAAAAAAATACCCACTTTTTATGTATTTTTCTGAACAAATTTTATTAGCTAATTCAAAGTCCCTGTCATTAAACATTGAGAGCCTTTGGGCTTCAAAACTAAACCGACACCCTCCGTATCTGATTCATAACATGACTACTGACTTAAAATATCTCATTCAGGCTGTGTTGTAATATCCCTTTTGATGTTTGATAAAAAAAAATACTTTAAAAGTGTAGGAACAAACAGTTGGAGGTGGAGCTGTTAAGGTTAGATAATCAAAGTCAAACATGGTGTTGTTGTCGTTGTTGTTGTTGTTGTTGTTATCCACCACTTCTCCTGCAGTTTAACTGTTAATCTAAAATGTTACTTCATAAAGATATACGAATCATGAACGTCTATGTCGTAAACATCAGGCTCTTTGGGCAAGACTGCATGATGCAACCACAAAGCTGCTGACTTTGAGCCAAGTGTTTCCGCGCAGGACTTCATGTTTGTGCTCTCGCAGCGAGTGAAAAGTGTTCACTATCAAACTGAACCTAACCGGTGTAAATTTTAGGACATCGAGGCACAAGCACAGCATCGGCCTCGAGAAGGTCATGTTTTCAAAAGCTGTTTTGTGTTACTGAGCAACAAGCTGAAGCACATTGAACAGGAAGTCAGTTGTGGCATTAGCGGTCAGGCCACATTTTGGTATATTTGTATCAGTGTGCAGAGGAGGGAGAGAGAGAGAGAGAGGGAGAGAGAGAGAGAGAGAGAGAGAGAGAGAGAGAGAGGGAGAGAGCGCAAGGGGAAGATAAAGAAAGAGCGGGAGTGTGAGTTTGTGGTTGTGAAAGCATGAGCTTGTCACTGAATGTACAAAAACTGCGTGTGATGAGCGGCTGTGTCACAGTAATATCAACAGTTTGAGTGTTGAGCACCAAAAAACTTTTTTGAAAAATCGTCTTTAACCACAACGTAAAACTTTTCACCATCGTGTCCTCTCATGAGAATTAGCCTGCTTTAGCCAACCGTTTCACTTCTGCACAGAGAGGAGGGCCTCTGAAGGCACTGAGAGCGTGAGAGGAAGAGTGGGGGGAAAAGGACAACACGACAGAAGTCAAACAAAGCAATCAAGTTGAAGAAGAAGTAAACACGGAGTGCGGTCGAAAGAAAGCTGAGCAGGGCAATAAGAAGTCCTGCGAAACACAAACACTTCTGTCACATGAAAGAATTCATGAAGTTAGCGTTGCAACGTAGATATTGATCATCGAAAAATGTGACACCTACTTCATTTAGAGTTTCCTTAATGTAGAACATAACCTCTTATGTTTCTATTCATGTACGGTGTTTAACATTTAAAGGGGAACTTCACTGATTTTACACAACACACGAATGTTTTTACAGGTCTTGCGCATGCGACTGCGGTACAGTATGAGATATTCACGGTACGATAACTGTCTCAGAAAATATCACAGTGTCACAGTATCACGCCACTACAGAATTATTATTATTATAACCTAAAAAAGAGCCTTAAAGGAATGAAAACAGAGGGGTATTTTTGGTTGATCAAATTTTTTATCACTTTAATTGAAACTTGAAAACATTTTTCAAATGAAAGTTTGTTAAAAGTGTCAGTTTTTAAAATGACTCAAATAAAGCTGAGATTCTCCGTCCAGTTGCATTTTTTTCCAGTATCATAGATATGCAAATGTACACCGTAAGATAACCGTCAATTTGAATGTCACGGTATACCTAAAAACCTGTATACTGCTGCAACCCTACTACTATGTTAAAACAGTTATTGCAAGTGTTTAGTGGAACAAGAGGGAACTGCGTCCAGTCTGATCATTTTTCTCAAGTGATGTCACTTGAGTCAGCCTCAGCTGGAACATAAAATTAAAGTTTGAACATAAAATAAAATCTCAAAGTGTGGAGTTCGAAAAGAAGTGAGTCTACCAGACCTCTGAAACCTGCTCCCTATCTTAGCTTGGGGCAACATTGGCTGCAACTAGCATAACACACCCCAATGTATCGTCATACAACAGTTTACAGGATATCTAACAAATAAGTGCCCTATGAATGGCGTTGTCACATTATTTGCTTACTGTAAAGTTACATACTTGAAGTTATGTTGGTTAGGTTTAGGAAAATAAAAATGGTGACTATGTACCTCACTTTACTTTCACTCGGGACGTGAACACCCATCTCTGGGTGAAAAGTCCTAAGTTTGTTTGAACCATCCTCCACAGGCCCTGATCATAAAGTGCAAAACGTGATGTGCGTCGCATTGGCTTTTTTTTTTTTAAAGGAATGTCACTAGTAAACGAACGCTCGCTGCGCCTTTTTATTGTTGCAAGGCAGCCACCCCATCACCTCCATACCCTAACCTTTCTCGGTTTTTAAAATCGTATTTATTTGACAGTAATTAGTATCTAGTTCCTAAAATTTTTGGCAGAAGGTACTTGCTGTAGCTCTGGTTGAGGGTGAGAGGCTGTCAGCAAATAGTTTGTTGGGCACAGGGAAGCGGAGATCTGTGTGGGTACATGAGGCCCTAAAAAAGAGCGTGGATCATGGGGAGTACCACCAGTTGGTCCAGGAGCTTCTCCTCGATGATGGCTGTTTCCAGGCATATTTTAGGATGACTCGGGGACAGTTTGACAACCTGCTGTCTATCGTCAGGCCTAGCACAACCAAAATTAATACTAAACACAGGGCATCCATTCATCCTGCCAAGCGACCGAGCACCAACAGTTTTACTTTCATTGTTTACTAACTGTAAACTTGTTGTTGTGACCACCACAGAAGGCCCGCCTCTCAAATCATCCAATTGGACATAGGGGAAAAGCGGAGATGATGTGGGGTGCTTTTCCGGTCTGAGTTGAAGTTTTTCAACTGGAGGAGTTCAGAGCGTTCTGGCCAAAATATCAGACGCCTAGAGCACAAAAACTTTAGGCCCTAGCAACACAAAAACGATTACAAAAAGGCACCTCCAGCTGCTAAAACACTTTGTGTGATTGAGGCCTTAAGCAGCCTTTTGCTAATTGGTCATGTGATCACGGCCTTCCCAAGCACAATATCAACAGTTAACAATTAATTGGTTAACGGCTGAGAATATTTTTGACTGGTTAGGCATGTCGGCCTTTGGGTTAATTCTCCTACTCTTGAGTTTACTGCACTGTGCACCACCTGGGTCAGGTGGGAGACAGACAGCCGGCTAGCCACATTAACATGTGAAAACATAGAGTCCACTTCCCACCCTCTGTTCTCTACTGGTTAGGTAGCCTTGGCTGCTCAGCACTGAGCACCAGCCAGATTGGGTGGTACCTCTGGCAGTGCTGCTCATTTGGTGATTACCGCTGGTAATGCCGTCTTGACCCAGCAGCATTGCAGTGGAATCATTGTGTTCACCCTCCGATCTCCCCCGAAATCACCCTGGTGAGTAAGCAGCTCAATTTTGAGCCACAAACCCCCTTTAGCATTGTCAACTATCACTGTTAGCTCTGTTAGCATTGTTAGCAGTGTCAGCATGGCTAGTGGTGCTAACAAAGTAAAGGGGTTTTGTGGCTCAAAATGATGCCGCTTACTCACTGGGGCGATGTGCAGAGAGACTGGAGAGTGGGCTCCATGTTTCCACACCCCGCCACAAATAAGCATCCTCGCTTGCTAACTTAGCCAAGGCTAACGTCAGCTAACCAGTGGAGACTGGAGGGTCGGCACTATGTTGTGATATGTTAACACAGCCAGCCGACTGTCTGTCAACAAAGCTGACAGAAAATAAAATAGAAAGATGTTTACATCGCAAAACATTGGAACATGGATAGCCTTTTGAAATGTGGTGCTAAAGCTCACACTGAATCACAGGAGCGCCTGACCAAAAATGTCAGTTTGCGTTTTTCTTTTCTTTTTTTTTTTCCAATTTTAGTTTTTTAATTAACTGGTCAGTTATTAGTCAATAGATGAACAGTTCACGAGAGCAGCCTGCACTGCCGAATATCTGACCTAACTGTTGGTAATCAAGTGGCATTCTGGGTAATTTAGCCGCAGAGAGAGAGAGAGAGAGAGAGAGAGAGAGAGAGAGAGAGAGAGAGAGAGAGAATAAAACAGAACAAAAAAAAGACAATATTGCTCTTTTTTTTAATGGTACATCATGACTTTAACAATGTTATAGGCGTACAATGCTAAATCTAATTTCATTTAAAACACAACACGTTATGTGTTTTTATCGTCTGGGTCTTTAAGTCGTGAGCAACTAATATCAGGTAATATTTGTTTGATGTGAAACACACAATGTGTTTTTTTTGTTTACTAAAACCTTTTGTTTGCTTAAAAAGGGAATATCCGTTACACAGCAGCAAAAGCTCCAGTTGCTAAAATCCCACACACACCGACTTCTGTATGAGTTTGTCTGCAGCCTTGAGGAAATGCCAAACTGTGTGCCATGCATTAAGAAGTGGTTTACAATGCTCAGGCAACAATTGAGCTAAAAAAAGCACAGAGGCAAAAAAAGAAAAAACAAAAAGAACAACACAATGCGAAGGCGGCACTTCAATCAAGGCGATACTCTTCTTGCTGTCCAATGAACCCGACCCCCTCCCCTCCCCAGACCACAGGCCTTTAGGGTTGTTTTCCAGCTTTAAAATGACCCACATTTTTACACTGTGCCCCCCTCCTCCACCATTTCCTCTCCCTTGGCCTGTGCCAAAAGGTTCCTCTGCACATGGCGGCCAGGTTTCCTGTAGGCCACTGAAAAAGCACGGCACTGACGTACAAGGCCCAAAGACAATGCTCTACTCCTCTAAACAAACACGCACTTGCACCCACTTAGAGTGCCGTGGCCACATCACACATGCACACACTTAATGTGAGCAGCAGGCAGAACAACAGGTCCAGTGTTTTGCCCTCCAGAGTGTGTGGGATGAAAGTGCCATCTTGGGGTGGTTTTGAGGCCTCACTGTAGGTGCTGAACACAGGAAGACGGATTTATAATCTTGATTAGACTCCACCTTGAGCTAACACCCCCCCCCCGCCTTCAACCCCAATCCTAACGACAAAATAAAACTGTGGTTAAGGTTACTGATGTTCAAGATTAGACAGCCTCCTGACTGCCTAAACAGTTACTTGTGATTTCACACGTAAATATTTTTCTAAGTGGTTTGATAACCTGCTGTCTCTCTGGTTGTTTAAAAACATACCTTTAAAGTTGTAATCAATCACAGGGTAACTGCACTGAATCTTAAGCTTTTTTTGTTGTTGTTGCAGCAGTATTTTGGAGATTAAAAACAAAAGCATACAGTCAGAAGACTGCTAGTATGAATCTAGACAGAGTTTTTATGTTGCTCTACATATTCATAATATTTCCTGAATGGGAAAGTATACAGCAGAAGGAAGTGATTCATTTCTCAAGTTGTTTAATACATAGGTAATTTCTCTAAGCATTAAAGGAGCAGTATGTTAAATTTAGGGGGATTTAGTGGCATCTTGAGGTGAGGACTGCACATTGCAACCAGCTGAAATTTCTCCTGGTTTGGATTCCTTCAGTGTTCATTGTTCAAGAGGTTTTTATTGGGAGCTGAACTATCCACAGAGGTCTAAAAACACTGACTAAAGCAGTATCAAGTTACAAATCGGTGCTTCTCCAACGCTGTTGGCCTAGTACCTCCTAATGTGTGGTCACCTTTTTAATCTGATAACTTAAGATCTACATGTTCAGGAGGTTTTTACCAGGTGCCAAATTATCCGCAGAGGTCTCTTCCTCTCCAAAACAAACAACCCAGGTGACTAAAAACACTGAATAGATTTCACATTAAAAATATCAGTGTTTTGCGGGTGCCGTTCATTGCGGAGGGGCTGCTAAATATGTTGGCTGAAGCAAAAACACAGAAGATGCTATCTAGTGTTTGGTTTGTCACTTCTGGGACTGGCACTCTTTATTACATTTCAAACCCATTATCTATTGTTGGTGAGTAATTTTGTAACATTGTTTTTGCTGTTATAGTCAGTATTTTAAACAGATATGATTTCCTGTAATTTCTGTTGGTCTATCCTTTAAAAAAAATATGGTTATTGAATTTGTTGAATCACAAACAACTTCCACAAGAAAAGCAACAAACTTTAGTCTTTCAGTAGAAATTATGGGTGCTGTTTTCCTGTTAAAGTGAAGTTTAAAACAGGGACTTTGTTTATATTCACACACAAAACACAACAAGTTTTATTTTGAAACCTTGGATAACAGTAAAATCTTTCAATCTTCAGATATGTTGTGCTGTTACTATCACTCCGACAGCTCTTATAGCTAACGAGGTTTTACTTCTGTTCACCGAGGCATCTTGAGTGGAATAAACAGAGACTGTTGGAAAAAAAGACAGTTTCCACAGGTTGTGACCCGACACATTAATGTCAGACACTGACCACTGTGGCTCTGTTTGACAGGAAGCGCTGTCCGTGGTGAGTGAGGATCAGCCCATATTCGAGCCGCCCTACAGCGGAGTGCACATGAAGGCTGAGATGACATCGCCCGGCGGGTTCAGCCAGGCCTCCAAGCAGAGTCCCGAGCCCACCGAGCCAGAATGGGTGGGGTCGGCGGCGCAAAACCCTGGGAAAAGGGGCGAACACGTCAATGGAACCAGGTGAGTCAGGACAGGCCGAGGCCACAGGGGAAAAAGGGTTCCCGGATTATCTGACTGTAGCTTTGTCATCGTCCATGTCAACAATCTGGGTTTTCCAGACTCTAAAAATGTTTGTTTATTGTTCTCTTACCAAATGCAACCGTGCGTACCTTGTTGTTTTCCACCACTGATGAGTGGAAATGTTTGAATTCCAAATACGGTCTTCTTGGTATTTCAGCTTTAACTAAAGGTTTACATAACATCAGTAGTGGAATGAATGTTTACTAATTTTTAGCTACTTGTAATTTTGCACATTTTCTGCTAATTTATATTTGTACTCCACTAACTTTATGTGACAGCTATAATTACTAGCTACATTTCAGAGTAAGATTATAAAAAAAAAAGACAATTTTATAAAATATCACAGATTATTAAAGACTATTAAAGATTGTGACCCAAAAAAATCAGCACCTACTTGGGGGCCCCTCATCTCTATAAACAGATATCTGCATATGTATAAAGCATCTGCAGGCAACAGGACCAGATTTTGGAATGAGAAGCGTGTTGTTTCCGTTTGTAGTCCATTTTCCCAGTCGTGTTAACCAATCAGGTTTGAGCGTTTTATAAATGTGTCTGCATTCCAACATGCAGATATCTGTTTGTAGACATTAGCTGAAATGACCCTACATGGAAGAGGAAGTCTTGGGCCGGACATCTGCTGGCTACACCAGAATTCTGAAATGTTGGCGGTTGTTGCCAGAGGTTAAATCATTGTCAGACTGCAAACAACAACAACCGAAACAGCAAATAAGTTTGAGGGAAACATTATGCAGAGAGAATTACTAAGCCTAGTGAGGAAATGTTGCTAATGAACATATCACACAAGTTGCAAAAATGTTCTAAAGCCAAATCCTGTTCCTTGTTCCTAAACCTAACCACCAATTTGCGGTGTTGTACTGACGTAGTGCATTTATTTTGAAAGAGACTGAATGTAAACGTTAAATTTCCTGTGAAAACAGAAATGTATTTTGAAAGAAGACAACGCATGTAACAGGCAAAACTTGACACGACGTCCCAGAACGTCAACAACCAACACACCCAGGGGACCTTGCACGTCGTATGTGGACAATGTCGAAAGTCCATGATCAAACATCAGTATGTGACGAGGTTGGAGTGCGAATGTGTTCCTTAACCTTAAATTAAGTGTTTTGGTTGCCTAAACCTGAGACAGGAGTCTGGACACAGACCATACGTTCTGGTGTCAAGGTCCTGCACTTGGTACGCCCGCCATCCCCCCCAGCCATCTTCTTCCATAGTCTATGCAGTACGTGAATGTAGTGTTTCTTTACCTGAAATAAACTTTGTCCGAGAACATAATCTAGGCAGCGACTACGGTGCCACAAAAACGTAATTAAGAAAGTAGTTTAGCAACAGGCAAAGGTAGATTCGAGGAGACAGGGTTGGGGGCTTTCTCCTAGCTATTTGGGATCAGTAGGACCTGATGTAATAAAAACTGAACATTCTCAACTGTGATAAAGTCCCAATGTCCTCAAACCACTACTTCCTAATTACTGTTACTAAAATTGGTAAAATTTGTTGCCACATCAAACTAACCACATTATTCATTATAAAAAAAACAAGTTTCAACCATTACATTTGATCAGGTTTGGACCTTGTCAACTTTTGTGTCGGGATCGGCTGCAGACTGACTTGGCAGAGATGGCTGCCATCTTGTTTTTACATGGATTAGTGTCCTGTGCTCTTACCACCACTAGATGGCACAAAAAAGTGTCCACAACCGAGGACAACAGGTCTGAGTTAAGCAGAATGAAGTATAAGGTCAAGTAAACCCAAAATGTGATGTCCTCAGGAGGGTAAAATGTCACGTGCCTATTAATACAATCTAATAATTTCATATTATATCAGTCACAGGGTCCATGTGTCTACAGAAGGAGTACTAACACTTTTAATACCTTTGGCTGATAATACCTCTGTACTTTTACTGAAGCAGGATTTTGAGCACAGGACTCAATAGAGGGTTTCTACATTGTCGTGTTGGTACTTTTGCTTGAGTAAACTTCAACTGCTGCTATATGAAAAGGTTCTTCCAGTCCTTCCCCTGTAACTAACTATTATTTTCATTGTCGATTCATTATTTTCCGGTTTAACGGATTCATCTTTTTTTCAGTAAAATGATAGGAAATATTAAAACATGCCCTGTATAATTCCCCCGAGCCAAGGTGACATCTTCAAATAGTTTGTTTTATCCGTCCAAAAATCCAAAGCAACTCAGTTTATTATCTTGTATGACAAAGAAAAGGAGCAAATCCTCACTTTAAAGAAGCATGAAACCAACAAATGTTTGGCTTTCTTTATTCAAAAAATGACGAAGGCAATACTCAATTATCAAAACAGCTGCCAATTAATTTCTGTCAATTGTCTAACTGATTAAACGACTAATTGTTACAACTCTACCTACAGATGGAATCAACCAGATACACCTGGTAGTTAGCAGGTGTAAATATTTACTAACAGCTAATCTCTATATAAAGACCAGATTGGGACGTGCAACCATGTTAATTTAGAGATACTTAGATCTACATCTCGAAAGCCTTCTCTTTATGACCTTCTCACTGGTATGGTGTGAAACAGATTGGGACTGAACTTATCTTCTCTCAGCTATTAGCAAACACTGCAAGAGGAAATAAACTTGCACCAATTGAAACTGTGAATTCTACAACCAGATCAGCAGCCACACTAAACTTATCATACTTCTCTGACACTGAATAACATTTACAACATTTATAAGATATTTGAATGATCTTACTACACTTTTCTCATCTATCTGTTTTAGCCGTGAGTCCCCTGTGGACTGCAGCGTCACCAAACGCTCCAGACACGTGAGCAATGACAGCGCCCCGATGCCATACCAGGCCTCGTACCCGGAGCCTCGCGTCAGCCCCCAGACGGCCACCCCACCCAGCAGCACCACAGAGGAGAAGAGGGTCATCGTGCCAGCAGGTGAGCTGAGTCACTCGACCTCAGTCACCCTCCAGTCTCACACAAGAATGACGCCATCACAGGACAGTTTCCCAAGAGCTGGCACACACTGAGCTTGTGTAACATTAATAACTGAATCAGAGAGCAGCACCGCATGTTTTTCCTCCAAACTACCACCGCCAATTACTGCTCTTCAGAGTCACAGCTGAACAATAGCAGGTTTCTGGTTGATCATGACATCAGAGTTTAAAATGAATTCTATTTAAGAAGTGTGAAGTCTGAAGAATAAATGTAGCACTCAGGAATAGAGGTGTGATGAGCAGGTGCTATCTTTTATCATGTTCACTGTCGCTACAAAGAGGTTTTTTTCATGTTTTAAAAAAAGCATTTTCTTGAGCCCACATGGACATTAAGATATTAACTTTCTTAAAGTATAAAACTGGCAAGAACTGACTCCATTCTTCTTATCAACAAGTCCCACAAATCTTCCTGTCTCCTAGAAATTAAGTTTATATACAACTAATTTAAAACAGCAAATATGTAATAGCGAGCAAATCACATTTTCTCAGTGGAAGGTTACTTTTGAAATGTTACAGGTTACTAGTTACTCAGTTGAAAATGTATTAAGTAATGTAACTTATTTGGTTACTTTTCTTACAAATGTTTTTAATTAAAGCTGAACATTTTCCGGAAACAGGCTATCCTAAAAGAAGGTGTTACTGCTCGATGAAATGATGGAAAGCAGCAGAAATAATATCACATACAATCTTTATACCAGAAAGAATATATCCAGATGATTACAGCCCCTTGTAATCATTGGTAACTGTATTTTAATTACATATATTTTTTTTCTCAGTAGCTGTAACTGATTGCACTGACATTTATTGTGTAATTTAATTACATTAGTTACTCACTCATTGCTCATGGAACTAGTACTCGCTCCTGTGTAGTTACAGGTTACTAGTTTCTCCCCAATACTGCGTTTTCTATTGACATAATGAGGAAATGTTACGTTAATTTTATTTTAGGTATACATTAACCAATAACTGCTGTCAATATCACAACACATGTAGATACCAGGGCAATGACAGACAGCTAAATAAACAGAACAGAGCATAATAACAAAAACAAAATCTACCTGACTTTCTCTTGATATCATACCTCATATAACAAAACCCTACTGTTATGACAAAGACAGTAACAGACATATACACCACTATTCATGTACAATGTTTCTCAAACGTGCACTGTAGAGTAAAAATGAAGACAAAATACAAATTCATATCATTTTTCTAGCTAAGCTGCGCACCTCCTTTCTCACCTCAAGCATGATGTAACCTGCCTCCTTCATCGCAGCAGAGAGCTCCACAGATAAAATCTCTAATAACACGTATTTTCATTGCTGAGTAAAAACAGTGTGGTGGCTGCAACCTAACCGCCAATATCTTTTTAGCAGCAGTGCATGTTGATAAACCACAGCTGCCTTTAAATGTGATTAAAGTTCTGCCCATATTAACGTCAAATGTTGATAATGAATGCATCAACAAAATATTCACTGACAGCGTATTTCGGTTTTCTACCAAAATAGATGATCTTGCAATACAGTATCCACTCGTAGTGGGGTGGAGTAGTTTTTTCATACGTCATTTCTAGGACCAAAACCAAAACAAGCACCCCACCAACAAGTTTTGACTGTATCCAAAGTCTGATATATTTTATTTCTCTGTATCATAGAGCTCCATTGTTGTCCAAAAGCACATCTGGGAGCCACACTATTTTATTTCATTACAATGAACCTGGGAACTCTAGTTTATTTTGACTCACTGTATTAATCCGCAGCTGAACTTGTTCCTCCCAAAATGCACCATTTACTCTCATCTGAATCAAACTGCTTGGAGTTATGAAGTATTTTTAAAACTACTGATGTGTGTCCCATTTTTAAAGATGCACACTTTCAGTAGGAACATTAGAGCTTCGGGCTGAGTGCCACAGGAAGTCAGAAAGTATTAAGAGACGGACTAAGTCATTCTCCTGAGGCTGGTTGACAATATGAAAAGTGCAGAACAACGCCAGCCTCATTCTTCAAAACAGAGACGACATATCCTCCAGTTGAATGTGACAACAAAACAGGAAGGATGTGTCATTGCTTTACAGACATTCAAGGTAACATTTGTCCAAAAACACTCATAATAACACCAGCGCTCTTGAATCAAGTCAAAATCCTAACTTTAAAATACGCTCTGTGTTTTCACAGGGATATATGTAGAGATGAGTGGCCTCATATTTGGTCTGAACCAACTTTTGCCACAGCTGAACTGTGAGCTCAGTAGATTTCCCTTTTTCTTTGCAGAGGAAAATTACTTTCATGCATCTTGGAGCAAAGACAGTGATGTGTCATTACTATCCGAGTAGTCATAGTCAAGGTTTAGACTGCACTTGGTCCATTTCATTCTTGCTATGAGTCACTGCTCCAACCATGTAAAAACTAACCTGATGACATGTGATATGTTCACGCTCTTGCACACTTTCCATACTGTTATCATCCACTGAGACTCATAATATAAGCAGTTCAGAGCAGCATGTTTCAGTGAGTCAGTCTCTATGAAGGTGTCTCACTTCAGACGTGCTCAAAAACAGTTGCAGACACATTAAAACTTAGCTCAGGTCTAACGAGATTCTTCAATGAGTCACCAGCGCCGGGTTATTCTGCTTCATAATACACGGATGTTGCATCACAGTGGCATGTGTTAACCAAGGACTATCAGGACACGAGGGTGTGGTGGTTTCTCTTCACGTCTAAAGCTCCTGCCTAATATTACGGGCAATTTACAGTCATTGTTTGCTACTGGAAATGAGCTTGCCTTCCTGAATCAGACTAGTGATTGTTGTACCAAGACACTGACATCGATTTCAACCTAAAATTTAGTTATTAAAGTCTTACAAATGTCTCATTAGGGTCAGTCAAAACAATACAAAAAACTATAATACCTATTAATGTAAATGTAGAAAAGAGTTTGTTGTTTACCAAGAAAATAAAACAGAGCCTAAGGTTTAGTAGTGAAGCAACATCTGATATTATAAAAAAAGAGTGATCTAAAAAGCATGTGTAGAAGTGTAAAACTATTTAGTATCAACCCCGTCTCTGAGAACGTATGACTGGACAGGATCTTTAAACTTCAACCATAAATATATTAAATTGCGCTTTAGTGCCTACGTGCAGATATTGTATTGAAAGAGCAGAGATTATTATACAAACATAATTTAGAAAGACAGGGCTGAGCATGCAGAAAGGCTATCTAATGCAATAGCAGTTTTAATATGTTACATTTATAATTTTAAAGACAAGGTATAGGATAAACAAAACGTCACTACAAAAATCTTTTACTGCATTATGAAAAATGTTTCATTAATGAAAAGAATAATGAAAAAGAGCATTAACTGCTCTCTCAAACCAGGGTATATGCACATTTAAAAAAAAAAATCACATTTAAGGCTTGGTTAAAATTGGCAAAACAATTATGCATTTTGCAACAAAAGCAACACAATTGGCACAGATGTAGGTTTATATGCTATTAAAGGTGTACAAAATTAACCTTTAATAACATAGGAAGGTCATGGTTCAGCTAAGGGATCAGCTTAAACACCTTGGCAATCATCATGACTCATAAAATCAGTTTTACACATCATTCAGGCATATTTAGCACCTGTTTGGCAGCCATTTTGAAAAATAGGGTCAAATCTACGGAACCATGATATCTATCTCTTTTTAAAACATATAAACCTACATCTGTGTCAAATGTGTCGCTCTAACCACAACTGTCATACTTAGCTGCCCCAGTATTGGGGCTCGGTGACGTTCTTTAAATCATTTACTATGTTAATATGTTTATTATTTATCCAATGCATCTCCAAAATCATGCATTAAACTATAATCAAAGTGTTTAATGCAGTAAACTGTGTTCCACTGTTATGTTTTAACATAAAAAAAACCTTTTCACATCCAAAACAAAACCTTAACTATTTTTTTTTTGTTTTTTATAAATGTAGTTTGCTTTAAATCCCTAATTTGGAGAACAGAAATGTGTACAACGATAAAGCAATATGCAATACAATGTTATTGCCCATACCTGTTGCACATAAACATTAACAGGGTTTCTCAAAACCGCCACAAATATCACACTAAAGGTCCCTGGGGCTGTCTTCAGCTCAGCAGTATCGGTAATTATTTGTTTACTTCCTGTTACCTTGAGGGAAATCATGAGAGCAGGTGGCAGGTTGTGACAAACCAGGCCAAACGTACAGATGCAGACAATAAATTAAGAAAATCACAGTTTATTTTAATATGCAACTTTAAGTTGTGTCTGTCACTGTGATTTCAGCCTCCTCTCAAAATTGAACACTTTTCATAATCAGAAATAAGAATTTAAGGTTTCAATCAAGGCAGTTCCACAATTAATCGACTTTTTTAAAACTACAAAATATGCACGACACACACACAAAAAAAGTTTGAATAAACCAGGCATTGGTTTTCACAGAGTTAGTAAACCCATCCAACCACCCACTTCACAGTCAGTGTCACAACTGGTACTCATATCTGAGTTGTTTCCGGTGTTATTCAGCACTTTCATGTCCCACAAACAAATCATGTTTGCCCAAGGGCTCTACTTCTGTATCATGATCTTTACTCCATCCTCTCGTTTTCTTTATGAGCATTTTTATTAAGAGAACCAAAAGAGAAGCATCTCTCAACATGTAAAAGACCAGATAATACATGTTTCATCCAAAAAAAGCAGCATGGAAGCACTCAGATTCAGTATTAAGAATTTCAGCAAGCCACAGCTGGTATATAAAGGTCAATCCAGACATGTTTTAAGACTAATATTAAAAGTTTAATTGTAACAAATTCAAGTTTACAACTACATTTTCTCACTCTCCCTTGTTGATAAATCCAGAATCTGTGAATATGCAAATATTTTCCACTTTGATGTCATGAAGATGTCATGTAGATGAAGCTGGAAGATTACACACTGGACCACCACCACCAAAACAAACAAAAAAAAAAAAAAACAGTCACAAGATGTCACAAAATGATCATGTACCTGCACGACTTCAACTGAGCTCAGATAAAGTCACGTCCTTTAGCAGATGAATGCTTTAGAGTCAAATTCTGCACAAATCATTGTGCACAGTGATATAACACGCAAGCATTTTTGTAGCAGTTTTGAGCAGGACTTTAAGTAAATGCAGGGACACTGTAGTTGGGGGGAAAAGTGGGACTAATTTCCCAGGGTCCCAACTGGAGGGGAAAGCCTGGAATAAAAAAAAAAATTTGTTTGCAATTTTTTTATTTCTTATTAATTAGTGTCATAAATAAATCTATTGCAAGACTAGACTTTGTATTTAAAAAGCAGTGGAGGCTTGGGCTGGGTATTGCCACTAATTTCCTGAATCGATTCAATGGGGATATTTCAGTTACAGTACCAATTTTTGCTAGAATGTGAAAGAGATTGTAAGAGAACTAATACTGTACATTTTACAAAAAGAAAAATGAAGCTAACAGTTACAGATAAAAGAACCAGTAACGTTGGAGCTGCTCAAGACTACGGTTGTAAATACTTTAGCGCCACGGCACGTTTACTACCGTCAAGATTAACAGGGTTGAAGCTCCACACATCCATGGGAAAAGGTGTGTATCAAAAGATCGATCTCAGATTTTATGAATCCATATGGGGTCTTTCAAATGGAGATCGATTTGAAGTGGATGGATCGATTATTTTTACTCAGCCCTATGAGGCTCTCTGAGGCCCCTCTTGACCCTTAAATTTGTCTCTAAACACAGCTACTGAAGAGTAGAGTGACTGACTGCTTATGCTGCAGGAGCACCAACACACACTGTCATGTCTTCTCTTAAGAAGGACAACTGGGGTTCCAATAAGAAAAGAAAGGAAGAGCAAAATGACATTGTAAAAGAAACTCAGAAGGTGCATGACAGATACATGGATCAGGAGAGGAAGGGCGGGGGTCCCATAGAGACTGCTTATTCACAGGGCCCAGAATTTGGTGCTTTCTGATCATGTCTGCACGATTCCTAACTCTGCAACTTCTACAACCTCCTCTTCATGACTCTGTGAAGGCCAGAACCGCATCCATTTAATTCAAAAGTCCAGATATAATGTGTAAATTTTAGCCAGCTTAAGGATCTTAAAAAAAAACAAACAGTCCTCCAAAAAAGTGAGACTGCATGTTACAAGTCCGTATACCCAGTACTGTTCTGATCATTTTTGTGCTTCTGATGGCAGATCCAGAGGTTTGGTCACAGGACCACGTGCGGCAGTGGCTGGACTGGGCCATCAAAGAGTACGTCCTGGAGGAGGTGGACGTCATTCTCTTCCAAGCGCTGGACGGCAAGGCCCTGTGCAAGATGACCAAAGATGACATGATGCGTCTCACGTCGGCTTACAACGCAGACATCCTGCTCTCACACCTCAATTACCTCCGGCAGAGTAAGGCTGGCCTTGTGTCTGACAACAGCTGATAACAGTAGTCGGTTCTTCTCCCCCGACACTGATTTGAACAATGTAAAATGGCCTTCATTCTTCTGTGGCCACAAATATTTTCCCTGCATGTAAGCGGGACTAGAAATAAAACAAGACATAGATATGTGGAGCTGAAAAGATTTAACAGCCATCAGGCCTGTCAGTGGACATAAAATTGATCATAATTTGATTATTAATGACTGCAGATAGATAGATTATATAATTCAAAAAAGCTAAATACGGAATAAAAGAAACCTTTACATTCTCTATAAACACGTTGCAACACACTACAGGGGCACTTGTACTGTACAAGATCATGATGCCATTTGAGGCTGAAGCTTGTCACGTTGTTGAGTTCTGAATTTTCCTGTCTTCAGTAAGTGTTGTGACCACTGTTCCTCTTTGCTAGCAAAGGTTTCCTGTATTTGGCTTATAATATGTTGTCATGATTTCTGATACTTGCCACATTACATAATTTTGAAGGATTATTGCTTCTGCAAATCCATGTTACAAATGCAGCTAAAAAAGACAGTAACCGTGTTCTAACCCAGTTTTCGAGGTAGCATTACAACATAAAAGAGATGGACAAAATGACAGTAACATCTTATCATGTAAAATAATCCAGTACTACAGAACACCACAAACTGAGTCCTCAAAAATACAAATGAACTCCTCTCTTGTCTTGCAATGCCTTTGATGTCTATCCTTTATTTCAAAAGACCACTCATGTCAAATTCCACCCCAGTATGATTTTTGTTATATCCATTTTAACAGAATATAATCTTGACTTTTTTTTTTCTTATTTCTGCTTCAGGTAGCCCTACGTTCTCGTATTCCACAACTCCCACCAACACCACACCGCCACAACAGCCCAGACTACAGGTGAAAGCAGGTGAGCTCACCTACTTGCCATCGAAAGCTCTGAAAACCTCTCTCAGTCAGTGTCAGTCAGTCACTTGTCCTTGTTTTGTCCTTCAAATCTGACCCAAGTTTTAATGAGGCAGATTAGCTGCATTAACCTCTTTATTATTAATAACTAAGGGTGCTTTCACACCTGCCCTGTTTGGTTCGGTTCAATCGAACCCAAGTTCATTTGCCCCCTAAGTGGGCAGGTGTGAACACAGCAATCGCACTCAGGTGCGCACTAAAACACACAAACTGAGACCTTCTTGAAGAGGAAACATGAGCATGTTACAGTCCTGGAGGATTATTAATGTGCACCTCCTCCTGTACTGCCTTAATATGCACATTCAGCACATCCAATGCATCAAAACATTGTTTTCTAGTTGGAGCCGAGCCTCGTTTTCAAACTGTATGGTTTGACTAAAATGAACAATGACAGCAATATAGTCCACGATGAGCAGCGCTAAAATCAACCTGCGTAGTTGTCCCTCCATTGTGACATTAGAAAGTGTCACATTGATCTTGCAAGTGTACTCTTCTTCAACGTTTGCTTTACTTCCTGGATTTTTCCCACATGGAAATTCTGACCAATCAAGAGCAGCTTTCTCACACAAGGCATTTGATCTGGTCCGCTTGTAAATGCTGCCATGAGAACACGAACCAACTCTAGGCAATTATACAACTTTGTCACAAAATTAGTCCCTGATTCAGACCAAAGCAAGACAACTCTAGGTCTGACAGCACCCTAAGGAACTGTGAGCAAACACTTGCTTATCAAAATATTCAGCAGTTACAGAGCAACATTATCATTCATATGGAGTCGTGTATCTGGCCACCTACTGAGTGTAGCCAAATATTCACTTAGCTCTATCAAATCCTGAGAGAAATATCTGGCTGTTATCTCGCTTACAGTTTCTATCTGATGTTTGGTGTTGGACGGGTCGTGCACAATAGGATTTCAGTGCCTTTTCACTACTTTACAAATTAAGGATTCTACACACAAACCATATCAACATTTACAACTGCAGTTGAAACAATTAGTCAAATGATCAGAAATTCATTGACAACTGTTTAATTTCTTAAGTCATTTTTTTATGCAAAAACATTTCATGGTTCCAACTTTGTATATAAAGACATACATACTCCTTTTTTATTTTTAATTATTTTGATTTATTAAAGTGTCTTAAAAATTTCCACGAGTACTTTTACATTTAATGCTGAATACATTTTCACTTAAATAACACTTTCAATGCAGGACTTTCACTATTTTTACAGAGTGGCAGCATCACAAATGTTTTGCCATTGCTGGTTTTTAGTTTTGCATGTAACGCCAGTACTGACACTCTGGAAAATCATGTTTACTTAAGTTTATTCAACAGTATGTTGATTTGACTACTGCAGAAGTTCTTCTTCTTAAAGCCTCTTTTTGGACATCTGGGTAAGAGCAGATTTGGATGGTTAAAATCATTTGGTGCGTCTGGAGTTATGTTAACGGGACAATTAAAAGAAAATATAAAAGAAATTTAAGAGAATGTTGCTGCATGAGGCCCATTATATGACACACTGCACAACACATGATATACCAGTAAATGGTAAAGAAGCAGGGGTGAGAATCATCAGAGAATCCACGATAGGATATTTTCAGGATACTTAATTCAGTATCATTGTAATAAAATAAATTGGGATTTATTACCTTTTTTAAGCAGTAAATTATGTCCTCAAAGGAAAACTTTGTCAACATCTGTTTTATTTAGTAAGATAAAGTTTTCAGTCTGTTCATCTCACTTCAGCCATTTTTTTGCAGCAAAATGAATCTAGTTGACTGAAAAAGCAACAATCATATTATTATTCCAGTAGGCTGCCTAAAGTTTAATATGTATTTGTCATATTAATAATTTATACAATAGAAAAGAGATTTTTGGCGCTGTGTGACGACATTCCCACACACTGCTGTATGTCATTTTTCAATCCATTATGAGTTAACAGGCTTTACTCAGTATGATTTAAATACACGATGAAAATGTATTTTTCTGAAACAAACACTTTTCTTTCAGTATTTCATGTTTCATTACCATTTTTCCATCAGTCATACTGTCTAGATCTGTGCAAATGTTTCTGGGTGTGATTCAAAGCTCAGAATTCAGGGTCTCATTCTTAAACACATCACAAAAAGCTGCAAACTACTTGAATGATTTAGGGATTTAAGAATAATGTGTTGAGTTTCAGAACTGTGTTACATAGTTTCAAGAGTCAAAACGGTGCCTTGGTACAACACTGGCCTCAGTTGACAAAACTTTGACGAGTCCAAAACTCAACAGCCAGTTTCAGACAGGAAACAGCTGCACCGGCGCAGGAAATGGGGGTATGGGTCCTGCTCCTGGGACACAATTCACAATCTTGTGGCAACAGGGGTGGCCTGAACAAAAGAACACTTGCCCAAGAAACTGGGGGTCATCTTCAGACCTCCAAACTCTTATCGTCTTGGTCTCCATTTACTGACTTCCTTCCTAGTATAGCTGAACTGTCCCACTGTCCACTTCAAAGCAATTTTATGCCACGTGCCGGCCAATGTCTAGTCTCATCCTTGTTGTTTTTGTGCGTACAGAGAGCGGTTTTGATGAGATCAGCTGCAGGAACAGCTGGCCGACAAACACCATGAGCACAGTGCCGAAAGGTAAGACGACAAAAAACAAGAATGACATGAAACTAATGATCATAATTCCTTTTTAATGCATGAAGAACTGCTGGTTTTACACAGAAATTGACTTTGTAAATCCAAAATTAGGCCACAGCTGAGGATCAAACAATTCTGTGAAGTTATTTTATTTTCAATTTTTAGGTCCCTCCATGGAGCACCAACACAGCTCGAGAGTGACAGAGCCTGCTCCAAGAATTGTGCAAGGTAAGAAGGTCACTTGTGCCAAATATTTTAATATATTCATAACACAGGGACCTTTAAAGCAGATCAGTTACTACAGACTAACACAGTGCTGGAAATGATCGCTTAAACCTCAGAAGCTTCATTTAAATCCCAGTCAATATTTGCTAATCAGCACTTAACACAAAGCACAGCTGGGCAGATGGGAATCTTATTAGTTTTGGGGGTATTTAGCCATAAACCAAAGTACTGGACATTTCCTTTTTCCACAACAATCAAAAAGTTTTTGAGGTTCAGAGGTGACAAGTCAACTTTATCCCTTTCTTGATACGTCTACAAAGCTCTCACTGATGGACTGCCGATGAGCAAAATTAAGAGTCACTTAACAAAATGGAGATGTGAGCTGTGATTTAAATATATTTCACTCCACCTAATGAGTGCCTGCCTTCAAGGAAATATTGATGTCAGTCTGAGTTACTTTTCTTTTGATAGCCTGACACCCATTAACCGGAAACTACTTCATTTTTAAGACGAACAAAAACACGCTAAATAACGTGAAATACAAGAAGCCTTTCCATTTAGTCCATTTAGCGCCATTGACAAAGTGTGAATTGGGAAGCTGGAGCAGCTGGTTAGCCACGTTAACATTCCAAAACATAGTGCCCACTGCCCACCCTCTGGGTTCCACTGGTTAGCTCGCCTTTGGCCACTCTGTACTATGCACTGTCTGGGCTGGGTGGGAGCTAGCTAATGGCGCCACTCATTCAGCAATTCCTGCTGGTAACGCTGTACCGTCACTGGGGCGATGTCACCAGCTGCTGCAGAAACATGGTGCCCTACCTCTAGTCTCCCAGTTTCATTTTGAGTCGCAAAACCCCCTAAGTATTTTTAATTATGTTGGCACCACTAGCCGTGCTGACATCGCTTACAGTGCTAACTGAGCTAACGCTGATAGTTAACATTGCTAAAGGGGGTTTTTGGCTCAAAATTGAGCTGCTTACTGACCGGGCAAAGACAGGGGGAGACCAGACGGTGGGCAGAATGTTTGCACACCAACGCTGTTGGGATGTGAAGGCGTTCCTAGCTGTAATTGCTCAATGAGGGGTGCCCCTTGCTAGCTGCCACCAGACCTGAGTGGTACGCAGTGCAGTAAACTAAAGCGCAGCAACAGTAACCTATAGACCGACATGCATAACCAGTCAAAAATATGAAAAATACATTTAATTGGTTGATTGTTGAGAATTTATTTTTTGACATCCCAAACTGGAACAACACGTATATTAGAATATAATGCATGTGATGTCAAACAGCATGGAGAGTTTTATCTAGTCTTCAAGTCCCTTCAGATGAAACATTAAGGTTAAAAGATTTACTAAGTAACGTCTGCAATAAAATGTAAAAATAATATGCCTTTTCTTCTTTACAGACCCGTATCAGACATTAGGGCCCATTAGCAGTCGGCTAGCCAACCCAGGTAAGACTCTAAACCACCACAAGATAAACCAACAAGGATGACACAAATGAGGCCTTTACACTGTCTGCTTTGGCAACATGTGAAAAAGAAAAGCAAGCAAGGGCTGGCACACACGCACTTACTTTCCAAAATGGAGTAAACGTCAAGCAACACCTGTTGTGTCAGCAGAATTGCATCACGCTTACGCTGAGACGAAATCTGGCTTCCCTCTCACCAAAGTGACTGTTTGCCCTGCTGTTTCCTCACAGAAGGCCAAGCCCTCAGCTCATCCAAGAACCGAACAGGCAAACAAAGTCCGTACAAGCTCCCTGACCCCAGCGCTCACAGGCCTGTGGGTAGGTGTCTGCCCTGATGTCTGTCACTTCCTCCAAGCCACACAGTGAAAAGGTCACATTTGGTGGAAAAAAAAAGCTGACTGAGATTTAGATGTGTGTCGCAATACTGTTAGGACAGAAACCCATCTACAACAAAACTCCTTAGTATTCTATTACAAGAAAAACTGGGGAGCTGTCCAAGGTCCTGGAATAACTGCATTCATCAAGTGGAGTTAAAATCATTGTTTTTGTTCCTTCAATCATTATTCTTATAATAATTTTAAAAGGCTACCAGCTGCTCATGGCTTGATATCTACACAGATCATTACTTCCTCCAACATGTTTTAAATTGCAAATAAAAAATTAAAGACATGAACTTTTCACACAGTTACTGGTATTTGTGTGCATCAGTACCTGACTCATCAACTCTCCCTCTTCATTTATCCTCCCAGGCTCGGGGCAGATTCAGCTGTGGCAGTTCCTGCTGGAGCTGCTGTCCGACAGCAACAACGCCAGCATCATCACCTGGGAGGGCACCAACGGCGAGTTCAAGATGACCGACCCGGATGAGGTGGCCAAGCGCTGGGGCGAGCGCAAGAGCAAGCCCAACATGAACTATGACAAGCTGAGCCGTGCCCTGCGCTACTACTATGACAAAAACATCATGACTAAGGTGCACGGCAAGCGTTACGCCTACAAGTTTGACTTCCAGGGCATCTCGCAGGCACACCAGAATCACGCAGCGGAAGGGGGGATTGTTAAGTACCCAACTGAGATGTCTTACGTGCAGCCCTACCACAGCCACCAGCCCAAAATGAACTTCATGGGTGGCCATCCTGCACCTATGCCCGTCTCCCCCGGCAACTTTTTCAGCCCTCCGTCTACGTACTGGAACTCACCCAACAGCCCCATCTATCCTGGGTCAGCCATGACCAGACATCCCGCCACCCACTCCCACCTGAGCTCGTACTACTGAGGACGATGCATTTCACACCTGAACGGGACAAAACAAGAGACGAATGCAAACATTCACTCGATCCAGGATGCACCTGAGCTGAACCCGTCTGAAATGAAGGTGATATGACGCTATGGTCTGTTTTTATAAAAAGGCATTATGATGTTGTCTCTGTCACATTCCTTCTCAAAAAGGACAAAACGTGAGGGTAAATTAACTGCGAGGAATGGAACAGTTTGGTTTTCTTCCCGAGATTTTTATGAATACACTGATAACACACTGTATTAGCGGTTATTCAGATGTTATGAAACCAAGTTTATTTTGTAAGTACTTTCATTTGTTCCTGTTGTAAAGACCAAAGTCATAGCCTGTACTGTGCGAGTGGCACAACAGTTCTGAAACCTTGTTCTTTCCCACTTCATAGGTCGAAACAACAGTTATCACATTCAATTACCTGACATTTGTAAAAGAGAAATTGTACAGAATGGTTATGTAGCAATGTAACATTTAGTCATGATGTAAAGCTAATAAATGATGCTTGTATCTGAAAAATGGCTCCTGAGGGTTTTTATCATTTACAGATTCTGTTCAGAAGCTTATTGAGGTTTTTGGTTCAATCTGTTAACTGACCAAGGCAGTTTACACTTTGTTAAAGGCTGCTGCCTGACACTTTGTAATACCATCATTAATGAATGGTAAATTTAAGTTTTTAACGGTTTATAATGGTTTGTCTATAAAAATTATTTGAGTGGCCATTATAAAGTTGTACAGTTTATTAAAGCTGGAGTGGGACTTTTACATTTAAGGTGAGACACTACAGGTGAATAGGGTAAAATTTTAAAATAATAGACATCATCATGAAACTTCCTCAGTTGATTACATACAATAGTACGAAACAAAAATGTATTACAAGTTTTTAAAATTTTAATGTTTAATTATGCAAATTAGGCATTCTCATTAAATATGCGCTAGTTTGCATATATTTTAGGAAGATAAATCTGAACATCTGATAAAGCCAGGTGCAAAATTCTTTTTTCATTTTGTTTACATATAAGATGAAAAAAAAAATTACAGAGGGATTTAAGGATATCTGCTTTTATTACCTAGAAAATCAAAATATACTGTCCATAGCCTTAAAAAAAAAAAAAAAAAACGATTTTCGCCATATTTTTGGTAATAAAATGTCACATAAATCTGGCTAGGAATGATTTATTAACAAATCCCTCTGTAAATATAGTCAGAATATAGCTAAGTGTATAACTGGAAAGTTTGGTGTTCGTAGGTGCTACGGAGGCTGAGGTGTTCGACTTGGGAGTATGACAAAAAAACTAATTTTGAGAAAGCAGCATTCAAAGATTTACATAGGGGAATTCAATACATTTCTATTGGAAACAATTGCTCACAAACAGAGTAAATGTTCAGGCCCTTAGTAATAATAATATAGTATATTTCAAGCTCATGAAAATTGATCATTTAATAACATGACAGGCATATAAGGCCTACAACTGTAGTAACCTAACTAATAAACATATTGGCCTACACTGCACAATGCTAACTTTTTGGTAAATTCGGGAGAAACTTACTGCTGCAAGTAGACAAAATATAATAAAATAAACATCTAAACGTATAATTTGAATGTTTTCTTTATAGTAGTTTGAAAGAATACATATTCAAGGAGTAAAAATCTCCATTGACAGCTGCATGAAAAATCAATGCCTGCCATGTTCTTTTAGCTGAGGTATATGAAATAATCACTCCTCTTATAACGGCCTTTGCAGCCCCACACAAGGTTGAAGCTGAGACATCGGGAGGGTCGTTGATGGCGCTTCAACTGTTCCTCCAAAAGGGCGAGAAAGGTGGGATTACTGAGCGAGGAAAGATTTAGTCACCAGTGACGGGCTGAGGCGGTCATAGTGGGCGGTTTGAGTTCCAGCCAAATAAAATAATGATGTAGCAGCACCGTTGTATTTATAGTACATTTTCTGACCCTGTCTAAAACTTGTCTTGAGGTGAACTCACTGAAGAAATGAGATAGTTTTTGTTTAGTTTTTACTGGATATTTAAAGGCAAACTGTTTATCATTATTTTATTGCAATTCTATTTTCTTAAATAACAAAAAAATAATTACATTTTTTCTAATTTGTCATATCATCAAGAATATCGTTATCACAAAAAAACCTGAAGTATTGTGATATTATTTTAGGGCCAGATCGCCCACCCTTACACGGTAGTGACAGCTCGCTTGTAGATGATCCTCTGCCCTGAGCATCCCAGCCAGAAACAGAATGTGTGTGTTGTTAATTCGGCTATCCTGATTTATGTGACATTAATGCGAGAGGCATTCTGTAAATTATATTTAAAAAAAAAAGAAAAAAAAAAGATGTTATTCATCATATTATTTCAGATTTTACAATGCAACATCATGAGTACCGATTCATAAAATCCTTCTCTATAGCATATTTGAAAAGATTTTTGAAAGGTTGATTTAAAACATTTTGATACCAATCAATGCCTCATTTTTAGATTAATGAATTCAGTGCCTTTAAGACTTTTTAAGGATCTGCAGGAACCCTGAGCCACAGTTAAGCCCTTGCCAAACGAGTTCACAGAATGCTGGTTGAGCCTTACACCACCTGGAAAAGCTCTCTGTATTTCTCAGTATACTGGAGTTTTGTGCTTGCTGTATGGGGCGTCTGTCCCGCATAGGCGCACCAGATGTGATGTGTTACATCAAACAGCCAGTGTAAAATATGCTTCATTTATATGTGTGTGATTCTGATGTCTTCTTCTGATAGTATGCATGTTGACAGAAGTAAAGATTAAAAGTAATTCTACCTGTAGATTATTGCTTTGTGCTCGTTAGGAGTCACGTAATGAGGCACCCGGACTGAACTTGTCACTGTTCAAATGTCAGCTTTATTTGTCAAAACCAAAAATATCTTCAAATATTAAACGAGGTTGTGTGACCACGTCGACCTGGACTTCCTCCTCCTCCTCTTTGACCACCTCCTCCTCCTCTTCTACAACAGCAGAGCCCTTCACCTGCTTCTCCTCATCTTCCACCTCAACCCACGCCACTCCTTCGCCTCCAAACGGCCACTCCAACTCCCCCACTGTGTTCTCCACTTTACCCATTAGAGTCACGGCTTTCGCTTCAGGCTTTGAAGTCGTCCTCCGTTCAGTCAGCGCTCTGATCATCTCTGGTGGTGGTGGTGCAGTTGTTGTTGTTGTTGTTGTGGTTATTTTTGTTGTGGTGGAGACTGTCTTCCTCCTCGGGGCTGTGGCAGCTTTCACCTTCGGCTCTACTGTCCACGGTCTGCTGCTGATTATTTTGGTCGCTGGAAAATGTTAAATTTTGACAATTTTGACATTGGAATATAATATAATTTGTTTGAAGCTGAAATCAAATCATACTAAAAGATATGACATTTGACATCCGTCTCCAAAATGCATAAAAAAAACAAAAGATTTGGAATAAAACTGCATAATTATCAATCCTGTTTCTTACGTGTAGCTGTAAGAAAAAAAACACCTTTCATTTCACGGTGAGTTCCTGTAATGGCATAGTTATATTTAAACTCTTATAACAGTAAACATTTTTATTTGGATAATGCTTATTAAAAAAGTGAAAAGGTAAAAAGATCTACTGGTGTTAAGGTCCTATATTTCGGCGCAGTAAGGGATGTAATGAATAAAAAAAACATCTGTATCTGTGTAAAATACCGTTTGTTGCCAGTAAAAAAAGCGATTCCAGAGAACTGAGTACAAGCTTTAAACAATAGATGGACATAATCAAGGAGACTTTTATAATGGAAAAGAGAACTTTTCCCCTGAGGTCAAAAGGATGCAGCTTCACTGTGAATGTCTGGACAAGAAAAGGACATTTAACACATGGACTAATGATTATGGTGTCCCCTCACACAATGTTGTCTATGGTGTTAATGTTTTGTCTAATCATTTAAAAATACTTTAAATAAAGAGTTATAGGTGCTTTTGAAAACGAGAAAACATAGAGACATGCAGCATAATCAGAGGCAAAAAGAGGACAAAAAGCCACATAATGACATAAAAGTAGAGTCATCTTACAAAACAGCCATGTCACCTTTAAAGGATGTGGCTGGTGTTTATCTAAATTTTTCGTATCGTCACCAAATCCCATGAAAAGACCAAAACCAATGGATCGTAGAAACCGTGTGCAGCCACGCAGGCATGGCGCTGCTCAATGTTATTCTTACACGGCTGGTTCATTATTTCTTTTTTTCTTAAATCCAGGAGCCCTGCAGCCCACCAACAGGTAACAACTACACAGAACTGACAAAAAAAATGAGTCCGATCTGTTTTTACAAATGATTTAATTGAATACCTCAGTGTAGCAGAGGCAACGCGAAGCAGCAGAGAAACCTTGTGGGTGTGTTTACATTTCATGTTAAAATACAACAAAGTGTGACAGGTGTAAACAGTCTTCAGCCACTTTGTGTCACATGTTCTAGTCATGTCCGAAACGATTTCATTTCTGGGATTTACTAGTCCAAACTTTTTGGAGTACCTCCTCTCGATGTTCACTTAAGCAGAGCCCACGCAGACATTGTCTCTTTCTGCCCACTTCAGGCCAGAAGGCTCATTCTGTGTAAATGGAGGTGATGCTTCATCCTCCGACATACGGGCATTGGATCAAGGACGTTATGTATCATTTACAATTGGAGAAAATCTGTTGTTTTATTAAAGGATCAACTACACGCTTCTTTGCAACACCTGGCAACCATTTTTAACTTTTGTGGCAAATATGGAAGCTGAAGAATTGTAATGAAACATGCTATACTGCACTATACTCCCTACTTATGTCACAGGTTGATTAAGTGGTCATGTTTTTTGCCTTTTTTATATATAGTTCTATATTTTTTATATATAGTTCTATAATATGTATATTTATATTTCTTTTTTTAATTTACTTTTCTCCCTTCTCTATTGGATTTCCTTTGACTAGTTTGGCTTTCTCTGTTTGTTCCTGGGTTGATGGTTGGAGTTGTCTTTTCTGTCCTCACTGGTTCTGCGTGTGTTTATTAATACTCTGTGCATCTTTATTGAATTACCAATAAAAATACCTTGTTTAAAATAAAGAAAATAAATCAAATCAATGCATCCTGTAGTTAAAACGATCCAGTTCATTCATTCAGTACCACTTCACATAGCCTACACTCCCAAACCCTGCATCATCAGCTGTTTTGTTACTTGGCAAAACTCAATACACACACACACACACACACACACACACACACACACACACACACACAGCAAGCCCACGCTACAAAGACAGAATCTTCACTCCACCTATATTACACGTCACGTCCATGTCTCATGTATTTCGGCTGTTGGTCAGTGCCTCAATACTTTGACTCTTCTAACCCGTCTGTGATTGAGCTCTGAGCCCATCTGCTCCTACTCAAGACATAAATCATTCAAACAGATGAGCACTACAGTTTTCAGCAAACACTACTCCAGCAGAAGTAAATGAAGCATTTGGGAACCATTTACAGTTGTGACTAAATACACCT